ATTTTCGAATCAGTAAATGAAATATCAAAGCGAAATTTTTTATTTTCATATCGTTTTCCAAACCATTCCAGTTCACAAATACATCGAAATTGAGAATCTGGTTGAGTACGTTCATCATTCGAATAACATTGTCCATGATAATTACAACTCCAATTCGTACATGGATTAAATGGAATAAAACAACGAGAACCGATACGATTTAATGGACATATACAAATATCTCGATTAAGATTTATATCATAACCCACATAAAATGAATCTTTTGAACATGAACTTGAATTTTTTTTATTAATTATTCTTTCTATTGAATTATCAAAAGTATCAATATTAGAAATAAATAATCGTTTAACTATACGTTGTACAGGTAAAAAATGAAATGGAATTTTAAATATCCATGTTGAATGATGTTCAACAGTTGAACTAGTAAACATAAGAACTTCAATTGAATCATTCGAATATAAAGATAATGAATCATTTATGGGGCAAACTAAATGTATTATATATTTTGGTGAACAATATTCAAATGGTGTATAAAGAAATTGTTCATGTGATAATATTATTCGTTTTTCATTTTCACGTATTAATAAAACAAGAAATTTCATTGTAGGAAAATTTTCATTAAATGAACCTGTTAATTCAGCACGAAATATAAAAGTTATTCGTTTACGTTGATATTGACATCGATCACCATAATAATAAATTGGACATAAACAAATAAATCCAGTTGTACTTTCCAATGAACGAACATATAAACCACGATTACAATACCAAATAATCATATGATTTATATATGATCTTTGTTGTTTAATTTGCTTCTGTAATGGATAATTATTCATATCTAAAGAATTTACTCAAGTACCAGGACGATACTCAATTAAATCACAAAAAAGTTCATTTTCTCCATCTGCACAATGAAAAAACCTTCCATCACATCGAAAAATTCCAAATGTATGATTATATACTATTCCATTTCTACATCGAAAATCATGTTTGTCCATTATTCATCCATCGGCATGCTATTGTTTCATCATCATTTAAAGGACAATCTTGATGACAATCACATATTTGAAATAGTGAAATGCATACATTAGAATTTAAACATCGATATCGAAGAACGTAATCATATGGATATTTTGAACGACAAAAAGATCGTTCATCTATTGAACCAATACAATTAATAATACCATCATTAGCTTTACTTAAAGGTAAACATATTGGTAAACCATTTTGAATATCCAAACAAAAATGTGTTGTTTTATTACAATGACGTGAACCTAAATTTGGTTTTCCACAACCTAATTCATCTTCTCCATTTGGACAATTCCAAATATGATTACATTTTGTATGAAAATTAAGACAATTCCATTCATCACTACGACAATCTGTTTCATCGGTATTTCCTTCTAAATCAGAAGAAATTTCAGTAAAACCATTACAAAGTTGTTCAAAAGTAAAATTAAATCGACGAGATTCATTTCGAAAACTACGACATTCATCGCTATAATTCAAAATACATAACCAACGCATAAAAGATGTTTCATCCATTCCATCATTACAATCTTTCTACAATAATTAATTAAATTTATACAAAGAAAATTTTCATAGAAATATACAAACAAAATTATTTGCTATAGCAGTTGGATGTATACATCGTGTTCCTTGATCACATTTAAATCGAAAAGAATAAT